TCCAGTTAACTACTTAAATTGCAATGTTAGAGCTGAAATTTGATTAGTGAAGTCTTTGGAGTTTGTTTAATCCTTCAAAAGAACCATGTATTAGCAATTTAAGAAAAAATAATAACTCTGAAGTATATTTCGGGCTTTGGAGAATTTCGAGACTTTTCAGAAATACACAATTTTTCTTGTACTCATCAAAAAAGTGCGCAACAAATTGCCGTAACACATTCAAAAACAAATGCGCAGTAGTGTAGAGTTTGGAGACTACCTGGAAATATGTGAAAGCATCATAAAATTGTGCTTTCGGTTCAAAAAAGTTAACGTAACTATGTATTTTCTTCGTACAAAATTAATGTAGCCACCGTAAAAACGATAACGAAAATACGTTCATAAGAAATCGACTTCAACCAGTCCAGACTACATTTTAAATGTATGTAAATACCCAATTAGAAGAGCATTTATAAACACGTGGAAAATATATTGATTGCTATGTTTATAAGTAGATTAATTTAGTCAACCGTACTGATTATGCATTTCTAGAATATGGCGACACAAATTTTTTTAATTGCTTACTATTCAATTAACACAATTAGAGTGCATCAAAGATGATGCCTTATAAATATTTAAAGAAAAGTTTTTATGCAATTAAACGATTGACATGACTGAGAGCATCTTAAATAGACTAAATGCTAAGTCACATAAAACAAAATAGTAGCAGTTAATGAATTATTCAAATATTTCCAATAGAAAATACGAAAGTATTTGAAAAGTATTTACTTTTGAAATTAGCATCATAATTTTTGTAATTACTTTAATTAAAGCGTCATTAAATGCAGACTTTAGATACGACAGTTAGAAATTTAACTATGTTATAATAAAATTTGCGATTCTCAATTTCTAACTCTATCAAGTGTTATTAGGAAACCGTTTTTAATAAGAAGCGAAAGCACTTTAGCTCATTTACTACAAGCAAGTGCCATAGTAAGCTACTCAAAGCTGAAGTGGAAGTTTAAGGTTCAAAGAAGCTTATTTGTTTGCATAAAAACTTTGTTGGCTGCAGTTATTTATTTAAAATTGTAATGGATTAAGTATAAGTTAATGCTAGTTAATTTTTAAAGACGATTTTAAAAAGTGAAACGAGAAAATTGCTAACTTTGAGACGCTTGTATGCACAGGATGTAGCAGAAAATTTCCGAAATATTTAAAATTTAAAATCTAGCGCTTAAAAATCAATTACGCACATTTTTGAAGTTAGTGTAGAGTTTGGAGACTTTTGAAAAATTAGCTTGAAATTAATTTTTTCAAGCTATTTCACGTTTTGCAATATTTTTTGCTGAAATTACACTAGACAATTTTTTGGAGACTTTTAAAACTTCTACAAAATCAATTCAACATTGATTATGTGTACAAGCAATCGCAAGGTATTCATAGCGATTTCGAATTTTTCTACAAATTACGACTTTCAAAATTTGTATACATAAATAACTTGAAAAGCATATATCCTTAGTAATTTAAAATGACACACAATCCCATATGCAGACCAGTGACCTTCATTTTCTATTGCAGCTGTACCATCTCCCACCAGCAGAGTTCCGCTTGCCATGTTATGGCATGACTCAACACTGGCTAATACTTGTACACATAAGTTTGGTAATTACAAGCCACAACTTACATGTGGCAAGTTTCCTTGAAATTTCCGCTTCTGTGTATAGGTCTTTCACATTAAAAATTAAGTAAATAAGAAATCATAAAAAATAAAATATGCAGAGCAATAACAATGAAAATGCAATTCCTTCCGACATGGCCTTGGCGATTACTTGCGAAATTGTGAAATACTACATTGTACATGCATATGCATATGTATATGTATATTAGCTGAGGAAGCAGAAATCATGAGGTCAACTTACCCCCTCATTTCTACAAAACTATATACATATGTATGATGCAACAGCCTATAAAGCATATGGAATGAGTTGGAATACGTACTCGCCAGGTCTGATATCCAAAGCTGCATTAGCCTATTCACCCCATTGGTAGTGAAGAGCGCACAGAGCATAGCGCTCATTGCCAGAGAGAGCACACTTGCTCAGCTGTTCCGGGCCAAGTGCAAGTTGCCTTTTTCGTTCGTTGGCAAAACTGCAGTGAACAATGCAACTTAGCCATAAACAAAACGCTGTACATGTATGTATGTATTTGCCTAGCGCCTTATGTGTATGAGTGTGTATGAGCGCTAATTTTTATTGTTGCTGATTTTCCATGACTGCTGCTCAGGCCATTCGAGTGCGTTGTGTTGTGTTGTGTTGGTCGCAAAATAAGCTAACAGGCAGACAAGTAGGGTGTCGAGTTGGGCGTTTGACTGGCGCGCATAAAAGCCAGTAAGCTCACTGACTGACTGGACCTACATACATACATATGTATGTATGAACTCGCTCACAAGCAACACACTTTAGCTTTGGCTCTAATTCTGGCTCGGCACAAGTTTGGGGTTTGGTGTCGTCGCAACGCTAGGGTCGTTCGTTCGTCTGTTCTGGATATGTGTTTGAGGGTAGTTGTTGGTGCGAAGATTTCACGCTTTACTCGTCATATTCTACGCCATATGTTTTAACACTTTTGTGTGCTCTAATGCCAATTTGTACGAGTACAACATATCTACACACTTGTGTACTTATAAGTATTTGTTTTAATTTGTATGTCAGTGTGCTTGTCGTCATGTCCGTCCACACATCGCACACACACACACAGATAGGTATATTTCGAGCCAGCCAGTCAGTCAGCCGCACGAATGCTTGAACGGGCTTTTGTGCAATGCACTGTTTTTTGAGTTTTGTAGTACGCAATTGCATTGCGAGGCGAAACGGTGTCATTTAACTAGCTACTTAGACGAGAATTGTGATACCATAGTAGCAATAATTTCGTATAGAATATTCACCTTCGGACGGATTGAATTACCTTTGGGCGATAAGCGTGATTTTCGAAGAAAGTAAAGTAATAAAAGGTTAAAATTTCGTTAGTTTGTAGAAGAAGAAAAAATATATAAAAAACAAGAAAACTAAACAGAACACTTCTTTCGGCCGCGTAAAGATACCATGACAGGTGAGATTTATGAAAGTAATACATTTATTGTGACAATTAAAAATTAACCAATAAAAGAGATTTGAAAGCATTACGAATTAAATAGTTGTCAAAACAAAAGAATTTAAAGATTTATGGCCTTATTCATAAAAATAAAGTAGGTTTAAAGAGCTTTATAAATTAACGTTTTAATACATTTTTCAATTTACAAACCTTTTATAAAGCTACTTTATTTTTTATGAATAAGGCCATTAGATGCTAAGTTAAGAGAAACTATAAAAAAAATTCGTATAGAGATTGGAGAATTTACTAGTAATGGTGAAAAATTGATTTTTGATGCTTAGAAACACGATCTACTTTTGCATCTTAATGTAAAAACTAGGTTACTTGAGAGTTGGAGAGTTTGGAGACTTTTTAAATTTCAGTGAAAATGAAATTTTTTCGCAAAAACTCGCTTTTCTTTAAATGGAGAGTTAGGAGACTTCTTAAAATTTCACTCATAATGCATCGTTGTTTATTTCCAAATGCATGATGGAAAGGTTTTAAGTCAAAAGAATGCATTTTAGATGTATACAAANATGTTAATGTGTTTTTATAGCTACCACTACAAAAACAATAGTCACAGCAATAACCTGGCTTAGATAAATGTCAACTGCGGTTAAAATAATAATAACAAACCAAATAACAAATGCAAAAGCAAAATAAATACACACATATGTATGTGTATGTATACACAGAATTATTTATGCATATTAACACTACAAATTTATATATAAATACTTCAATAATTCAATTAGTAAGAAATAGCTGCAACAACAACATAAAATATTCATAAAAGCTGAAATAAAATTTGCTTAAACAGCCTTATCGGAATAAAAAAGCAATATAAACTTTTTTTTTGCTGTAATATTTTTTTCTGTTTTGGGAACTTTTTGATACCTTTTTAAGCCTGGTTTTATGGAATATTTGTAATTTTTCCCAAAATTTGAATTTTTTGAAATCTTTACATACATACTAATATTTTGAAAATCATTTTTTTATAATTTTTTATATTTTTTTTTTATAATTTTTTCTTAATTGTATTATTTTTTTTTTAATTGTATTTATTTTTTTTATTGTACCAACATTTTTTTGGAAAATTTTAAAAATTCTATTATAATTTTTTGAAACTTTTGCAATTTTTTGCAAAAAATAAAAAATTAAGAAAAGAGTAAATAAAATAAGGAACGCATACGTATGTAAATATGTGTGCACATATGTATGTATGTACATATGCATCCGTTAAAAAATTCAAAAGACTATATAAAAATTAAATAAAATGACCTAGTGTTGCGAAATTTTTCAAAGAAAAAAGCACATTATATATATATATGGAAAATCGATGATAGTCTTACAAAAATTAAATATGAAAGCAAAAAGAATTTTAAGTCAAAAATGAACTTAATTTACAAAAAAAAAATCGGAAGGAAACTTGGACAAATAAACTGCCGAAAATTTATTAGAACCCTACAGCGTGAGAAATTGGAGTCGTTTTTTAAATGACATATCTACTGGTTTTCATTTATTATTATTTTTAATATTTTTTGGGTTTATTATTTTAGTAAGTGCATGCATATTTTATATTGTTGCTGGAATTTTTTGTCGCTTTTTCTAAAATAGTTTCCTTTAATTTGTTTTTTTTTTCATACTTTATAAATTGATTTCGCAGCCTTTGTTGCGTCTGTTGTTGCTGGCAAAATATACAAAACCAATAAAAATGTATATGTGTGACATGTAGAAAACTCGCTTTTTTTCATACTTTTTCTTGCGTTTACACTTCGGTGTTATTATTTGGACCGTATTAGACACACTTTAAATACCTTCACACCTGAGAGTGGAAAAATATGTGTATATACATACATAATTACTTATATCTACGGAAATTAATTTACACCTTCTCCCCTTTTTCTCTCCCTTGCTCCTTCGTAGGACAAGAAATACGATGTTGGCGGTGGTGAACCCTTCGACACTTTATCCGAACTCATCGAACACTATAAACGCAATCCGATGGTGGAGACGTGCGGCACAGTGGTGCATTTGCGGCAGCCATTCAATGCGACGCGCATCACTGCGGGGGGCATCAATGAAAGAGTCGAACAACTGGCCAAGGTGAGTTGTTGAGCGCACACTCTACTCTACATACATATATACATACATAACTGAGATTCAAAAATTTAATTTCCTTTTCCTTCTTGCTAGGGTGGCTTCTGGGAGGAATTCGAATCGCTGCAACAAGATAATCGCAATATGTTTTGTCGCATTGAAGGCTATAAGCCCGAGAATCGCGGCAAGAATCGCTATCGCAATATACTGCCCTGTAAGTTACATATACAGCCACACAAGTATACCCTTGTTAACTTATTCAGCGCACAGCAACGTTGACGTTGGCACGTGCGAAAATGTTTTTGCATGACAATTTTTCAAAATTGATTATTAAAATTTTCCATTATTATTATCTCTCTTCCTCTCGCTCTGCATCCACTCTTAGATGATCATACCCGCGTTAAACTACTCGATGTGGAGAAAAGTGTGCCCGGCTCTGAATACATTAACGCGAATTATATTCGCCTGCCCACCGATGGCGATTTGAATAGCATGAGCTCATCGTCAGAGAGTTTGAATGCCACTGGCTTGGTGGCCTCTTGTCCCGCATGCACCGCCGCCCAAATGCAGAAGAACTGCACCAACTGTCAAATGCAGAATAAGACTTGTGTGCAATGTGCTGTGAAATCGGCCATATTGCCTTTGAGTAACTGTGCAACTTGCAATAAAAAATCGGATACGATGAACAAACATAAACGCAGCGATTCATCTGCCTCAACCGCAACGAGTTTTAGCAGCGCTGGTGTTTGTGGTGCTGGTGGTTCGCGGTCGGCGCTAGCCGGTTGCAATGCTGGCGGGTTGTTGAAGAAGTGTAGCAATGAGATGAACGAACGTGATATGTTTAAGGTGTACATTGCGACGCAGGGCTGCTTGCCGACCACGATTGTCGATTTCTGGAACATGATCTGGCAGGAGAATACGCGCGTCATCGTGATGACAACCAAAGAGATTGAGAGAAGTAAGTCTGCGATAGTGTCAAAAATACTCTTTCTTAGAGTTATTGGGCTCCATTCAAGTTAAAGCATAATTCAGCTCAAATTTACTAAAAAAAAAGTCCGCGCTTTTTGCTTTTAAATAATATATAAGACAGTACAAATATTAATTTACTATTCAGCTCAGTTTTACAAAAAATATAGCATTTAATAAAAAAATTTTCTTATAAATTGTATGCATATTGTAGTGGCGACCACTTTAAATGTAGATTGAAGTCTTATTCAGCATTTAAGATCTTTTTAAGTAGCGCTTAAAATCGTTTGTGACGCCATTCAGCCAGTCAAGCAAAAAAAATCGTATTCAGCGCAATACTTTCTTATAAATTTTACAATTAAAGTAGTTTAAGATTCTGGCAATGCCGATTGCAGCGTTATTCAGCCCAAAGAAATCGTGAAAATTTGCAATAAACTCGAAAATCGACTTGTAGGTATTTTGTACTCTCGTTTGATAAGAATAAAATACTTAACTTCCAGTTTCCCATAATTTTTAACTAAACTAAAAACTAAATAAATACTTTTATTAGCGGACAGATATCTAAGTAAACAAACTATTCATTATTGATAAGTTAGATTCAGCTACCGGTATATAAATAACAAATTTTTGTGTAAAAGAAAAATAATTTCTTCCTTATTGGCGCTCTCAAAATAACTGCCACAGTTCAGCTAAATATATTTTTGAAAAATTTCTTGTGCACGGAAATTTCTGGCATTTCCGCTGTAACAGCTGCTCCTGCGCGTTCTGTGTTTTTAATTTTTTCGCTTTAATTTACTTGCAGATCGCAGTAAATGTGCTAAATACTGGCCGGATGAGGGCCAATGCCGACAATTCGGCCCGGCGAAGATACAATGTCTCTCGGAAAGCAAAACCAGCGATTATACGCTGCGCGAATTTATCTTCTCCTGGCGCGATAAGCCCGAGCGACGCATCTATCACTATCACTTTCAAGTATGGCCCGATCATGGTGTGCCACAGGATCCGGGTTGTGTGCTGAATTTCTTGCAAGATGTAAATACAAAGCAGAGTCAGCTGACGCTGGCGGGCGAGAAGCCGGTAAGTGTGGAAACAAGATTGGGATTACAAAAAAAAAAAAAAATGTGCACTATGTATTTTAATTGGAAACAAATTAAAATTTATTTCTTATACAATATTTTAGGGTCCAATTTGCGTGCATTGCTCCGCGGGTATTGGCCGCACGGGCACTTTTATTGTGATTGATATGATTCTCGATCAAATCGATAGATATGGTAAGAATTCCGAGAAGGCGAGAAAGAGTATAGAAGTAGGAACTAATTATGCAAATGCTTTTATATTTTCACCACACAGGTCTCGACACCGAAATCGATATACAGCGCACAATACAAATGCTACGCTCCCAACGTTCTGGTTTAGTACAAACTGAAGCACAATACAAATTTGTTTATTATGCTGTGCAGCATTACATACAAACGCTGATACAACGTAAACGTGCCGAAGAGCAGAGCTTACAAGTCGGACGCGAATACACAAATATCAAGTGAGTGCTACTGTATGCAAAATTTGTTTTAGTCTTTCGTGACCAAAAATTGTGAAATTTTTTAATGGGCTTATAAGGCTCTTAAACTCAACTATTTAGTCGCTAACTTATCGCCTAAGGGGTTATTGTGAAAGCAAAGGGCAATGAGCTGAAAATTAAATTTTTTTTATAAACGCTAACCCAATAGAAGCCGTCAGAGTAAATGGGATAAGAAGAGTAATAGGGATTTTTCTTCGAAACCTCTTACAAAAATTTTAGGCAATTTAACATATTTACTTTTTCTATTCAGCTCTGCTGTAAAATTTGGAAATTGTTTTTACCTTTGTATTTAAGACAGCATATGATAAAAGCTAACTGAATTCCAATTCATGTTATAAGCTGTCGAGCTAAATTTTTTTTGCCAAATTGCAAAGGCAGTTTTATAGAAAGAAGGAATGGAATCAATTACATTGTTTCAATAAGAGTTTTTGTGTACAAGCAATCTTTAAAGGCGTTTTAAGGTTTGCATTCATATAAACAAGAACGTGGAATAGCAGTATTCCTAAAATTTTAGAAAACTCAGGAAAACTTGCAGGCGAGCATATCTTTTTATTTTACTTCTTAATTTGATTAAAATGCTTTAAAAAATATTATATTGACAAATTATAACATCTTCCTCTCCTCTCTCTCCTCACCAGATACACCGGCGAAATAGGCAGTGACTCACAAAGATCTCCGCTACCACCAGCAGTTTCTAGTATAAGTTTAGCAAGTAAAAACTCCACAGGTGCCAGCAGCAACTTGCTGTCCTCTGCCACAAACAACTGCAGCAGCACTAATGTCGGCGCCGCCTCAGATGGCGTCAATCACTATGCAGGTGCTGCGGCCAAGCAACAACTTTATGGTGGTGGTGGTGCCGCAGCGCCGCCGTTGGCTACAAAAAAACAAGCACCGCTCCCACCATCGCCGGCCAGTGTACTCCTAGGCATCGGCAACCCAAAGACGGGCGATAGCAACAGCTATCATCATCATCATCAACAACAACACCAACACCAACACCAACAAAGCGCCATACATCCGCAGCAGCAGCAACAACAACAAACAGCGTCAGCGGCAAATGCATCCGCCGCTAACGCTGCCGCCGGTGCTGCTGCGGCAGGTAAGCAGGTATTCACACGGCCCGGTATTTTCAAATTGTTGACTCCCATCATTTTACAGCCAACGAAAACATTCCCAAAGACATGAGCATGCGCACAGGCAGCGGTCAGCAGCCGAAACAGCAGTCGCATTCGCATACGCAACAACAGCCACCACCTCCGACACCGCCACGCGCTAGCTATAACACATGACAGTTAAAGTTTTAAAATGAGCTCTATTCCTCATGAGCTCATAAGCGTGCGCAGTTGCTTCAAAAGCGAATTTGTACGCGCGCGTTACTTTCTTTCATGCATCCTTCAACAAAAACGCACTTTTAAGTGGACGTGATGTGGTGGTCGTATATGCGGTGTGGAGACAATGAAAAAAGTCGATAATACAACAAAACCTAGAAAATACACTCACGCTTCCCTATCTTTCGCTAGAGTTTTTTTTTCAAAAACAATTTTGTATTTCGAATGGCTCTGAAAACTATTTGTTTGCGTTAAAAGCGTTTCACGTTTTCATCTTAACTTATGCACACAAATTGTTTGCGCTCCTTACTTTTAACTTAGTTTTTACGCCACTTTTAATTCTTAACAATTTTTATGTTTTTTTCTGAAAAAAAAGGATTCTAAATGAACTCTCTCTGAGACCTCTCGTTTTTGGTTAAAGATTTATATTTATTACCTGAGCTGGTACCCTTCTTGGTTTCTTTCCACCTCCTTACCTTTTCTATTTCCCTGGCTTTTTTACCCCTTGATTTGCGCGTTCCTCTTCGTGTTTTTTAATATATTTCTTAAGATAATAATTCTTTGTAATGCTGGTTATTGTTGTTGTTGTACTAGAGTAGTTTGTTGCTGCTGTGCCTGTTGCTGTTTTTTTTTTGTAATTTTTGTTGTAGTTTTGTATCGCTGCATGGTAGTTTACGCAGCGTTAAAGTAAACGTAAAACGTACAGAAAAATGAAAAATGAAAACAAAAAAATAAAACAAAATATATATTCATACGAAAAGCGTGGATTGTGATCTGTATTGATGCATTAAAAATTTAATAGAAGTAAGTAAAAATAAAAATAGGTTGTAAAAAAAAAAA